CAGACTCTTAAATGAGCCCCACCTGCTGCCAGCCACAAGTGACAGGTCACCGTTGAGCAGGTGATTCTCTCGGCAGCCTGCATCTAGCACCGCTCCCCTTGACGGGGGTCAGGAGACTAAAACCTCATTACCTAACGCGGCTGGATGTCAGCATGTGTGGAGTGGCTGTTTGCCAGCATCTTAATTAATGAATTCATAAGGCGCGGAGTGGATGCCAGTTCTTGAAAAGTGCTTTGAGCCTTTCAGCAGTGAAGAAGCTTTTGCTAATTTATCAAAAAATATATATTGGGAGAAAGAAGAGAAAACAAACCCTAAACAACATTTTGGCTCAGGGACAGCTGACGGCTTCAGGCGAGGGCTGATGGGGCTGTACTTGCAAAGCCGCTCAGCCCAGCCTCACGCCAGCTCAACCGAAGGAAGGGCCCAGAGAACTCCGGAAGGAGAGGCTGTCTCCATAGACAGAATAGCCCTTCAACTCTTTCTGCTTTTCCTAAAAATTGTTCCTAGGCTATAAACGGAAGAGGTTTGTTGTTTATCTGTTCAGCCTGAGAGAAACTGCTCATAGGCCCGATAATTTGAACCACAGGCGGAGGCTTGTGTTCTGCTCCCATAGATCTGAAAAGCTTCTACCAAAGACAGCCACCCTAAGGGGTGTCAGGGTAATCGGCCTCATGGGGTTTCAGCCTTGTCAGCTGGATAATGGACTCTTGTGACTCACCTGTAGACCCCAGATGGAAAGGCCAAGCTCTGCTGGCCAGAGGCCATCTGGGCAGGATGCTGGCTTCTTACCAATCGGGATATATGTCCTAGGGCCTCCCCTGTGTGAAAGTGAGTGGCTTTCCAGAAATCCAGTTCCCTTACTGCTGAGGCTGTAGATGAAACAGCCAAGCCCAATTTCCATGTTGTAAATTAACAAGTGAAAAGGAATGCTTTGATCCCCTTTGGGGGAAAGGAGGGTTTCTGATACCCAACTAACCCACATTTTCCCTGCTGGCAACTGGTTGTTTTTGTATGAATTTTGGAGGGTGCCTTAGCAGTGAAAGTGATGGGAGAAGGCACCAGGGATATTGGACGAGAAGAGTGTTGGAGGGTAATTGCTGCTCTGTGAGGAGAGACGTGCTTGGCTCCTGTCTCCTCAGTCTCAAGCAAACAGATTTCAATCAACTTCTTCTTTCACAGAGAGTACCTATTATATGGACAGAGACCAAGCAAAAGCCCTTATACAAGATTATTCAGAGTAGAGAATTTGTTGAAATCAGATCAACAAGCTTAGATGGGCTTCAACTGGGATGTGGAAATGACTTTGTTCCATGAGCCCTTCTTTGTCATAGATATTTTCATGAGAGTTTGGAAAACAGCTTGAAGTGGTAGAAAGAGCATGAGCTTTGACGCAGACAAAAACCCAGATTCAGACCCCAATTCTGCCACTTCACAAAACAGCCTAGGGCCAGTGGCTTATGAATCTCCCCATCTGGAGTTTGCTCCTCAGTAACTTGGGGACAGTCCATGCCTGTCTTACATGGTTGGTGTAAATATTAGCATACAGAAGCCACCCACATACTGTCTGGGTCTTTGTGTAAACTGTGCCAAGAGCTAGGACTGGCTAACAGCTGGTGGCTCTCCGCTTTCAAGGCGTAAATGAATGTTGGTTAAGAGCAAGACACAGACCTCCTGACTTCTCTGTTCACTGACTGTGGCCCTGGACAAGTTTCCTCATTTATACTAACACTATATCCAGGGGAGCTCAGGTGGCCTAGTAAGGAAGGAATTGCACTGACAATCCAAAGTTGGCAGTTTGAGTCCACCAGCAGCTCTGTGGGAGAAAGATGGACAGTCTTGTCCTGTGCCATTTACTGCTTCAGAAACCCAACAGAAAGCTGTGAGTCAGTTCTGACTTGACGGCAATCAGATTTTTTATTCTATACCCAGCTTATAGGGTCACGGTGAACATTACGTGAGTAGATGCTAGAACAGTGACTGGCACACAGTACTTGCTGCTGAAGTGCTGGCTACTACTATTGTTGTTATTAAGGTCTGCGTAGACTTGGCTTCTGGATTCTGCCTAACTCGTGTTCTGTCCTCCAGACTGCTCTCAGATTCCCTGACTTGGGCTCAGCTCGGGTACCCTAACACCATGCTCTTCAGTAGTAGTGCCTAGAAGGCCTGACAAATGTGATATGCCCAGTGGCTCAGGCCTGACCCCTGTGGCCACCTATTCCAGCAGATCTGTCACTTGTGGGCCAGCAAGTCCTGAAAGCCAAGGCTGGCTGCCTGAGGCAGAATGGAAGCAGAGTGGGTGGGGTAGCCCTTCCCAGCAGGTCTGACCCCAGACAGTGGCATTTTAGGGGGTGGGTGGGGAGCTTCACACAGCCGTGTCCACAGGAGGACGGCTTGTGGCTTGTGCTTATCCACAAAATGAAAGCTTCTGGGAGCCCCCACTCCCCCAGCACAGCCAGACCCTGGAGCTGCACCCTCTGCAGGCTCAGCAGGAGCAGTGCACAGGAGCTCTTGTCCAGAGGGAGGGAGGAGACAAGTGCCCGACCCCGAAGAGGCCTCATTTGGGACTTGGATTCCCAGAGACTCCACACTCCTGAAAATATGCCTCCAGGGCATTTCAGATGAATTTTACCGTTTCTTTTAACACAGTAACTTTATGGCATATAGGACCCCAGGGAGACTTCCCTGAAGCTGAGAATAAGGTGATATTCTCAAAATCAGGTGGCAAAGGGAATTTTGCTTAGCTGGCTTGGGGTTGCTGAGCTCCCAGATGAGCGAGTACAACAGCTTGTGCACACACACTCTCACACACACATACTCTCTCTCCTTCTCCTCTTCTGTCTCTCTTTCTCTTCTCAGCCCCACCAATCACCTAGCACAGAGCAGCATCTGTGTGGAAGTACCCTTGACTCCATGACTGAGAAAATGAAGACATTGCCCCTGACTCTTGCCTTCAGGAGAGATGGCACCACTTGGCTGGGGTGGGGGGCCTTGTCCTTACCTTGGTCCCACTTTACAGCCCCCACCAACTTTGACTGCTTCGATCATTTCAGGTCTTTGAATTCTTCTGCAGGAAACACCCCAGCCCGTGTGGATGGCCCTGTGGTCCCATGCTTCTCTCTCACTGAGCCTCCTCTAGCCTAACTACCCAAAGGCCAGCTGCCAGGCCTTGGTTCCCCAGTGTCTCTTGGATAATGCAAGGTATTGGTTCTCACCCTGCTAGGCCCTGGGATCACTTGTTGACAGCAGGTTTGCTGTCCCAACTTCCAGGAACACCACCTCCACGGAGATCAGCCGTTCCCTTTCACTTTGCACTTGGGGGTGCATGCTCCTTCCACCACTGTCATCTTGTGTGCCCTTTCCCCCTTCTCTCTCCTGCTTTGACTTCTTCCCTGAGGCCCCGTGGGTACTCTGAGCTAAGCTCAGTTGGTCTCTGGACCAAGAACAGGCTTTTCCACAGGATATTTGGCCTTTCCAGTCCTTTGAACGGCCCACCCTGGGATTCCCGCAGCCCGTGCCAGGGCCTCAGCTCAGGTGGCGCTGCCCCGAGGTGTTCATAGATGCCTTGTGAGGAACTGTCACCACTGCCCTTTCTTCCTGGTGTCCCCTCCACGCCCCCTCTGGACTGCAGTCTTCTCTGTGCTCTCTTTTTAAATCCCCCAGAAAAATTGACACTTGATTTTCTGAATATAAATGTAGTCATGGGTGGATACTCCCTAATGTTAATGTACATCCAGAGGGTTAGGTTGGTTGCCCACCCTAGGCCTGAATGAGAGCCTGCTTTCTACGCTCCCTGGCCATTTCCACTATGATAGCCACAGCTGACAGGGCTCCAGCTTCGGCTCCAGACAAGCCCACCACCTGGGTCTGCCATGGCCCGCCCTGCTGACAACCTCTCTCCAGCCTTTTTGGCACAAGTCCTGGGAACCTCCTTAACTTCTGGAGTTGGTCCAGTCCCTTTGAAGGGGTCTCTTTAGCCTCAGCTCCTGGGGTTTATATTCCAGCTTCCATTTTAGCCAGATACTAAGCCCTCAGGACATAGAGGGAGGAAAGGTGGTGGTTCTCATCATGCTAGGCACTTCCTGACATCTGCTGCCAGACTTCTCGTGCCATTCACATCTCTTCAGATGCCTGCAGTGCCTAGACCACACCTAAGTCTTTTCTTTTGAAAATTCTTCTAGGCCTCTCATCCATGGGGGCCCCACCAGGTTTTACCTCAACTTCCCAGCAGGCTGTGACCTGAGATTGTCCAATGTGTAGAGGTGTCTGTTGCTTGCTGTTCTGATGATCTACCAGCATAGTCTCAGAAGGTTACCCCAAATCCAAGCCACAGGGGCTCCGTTTCTCCCTGCTGCCAGCCGGTGACTAGTGGAGAGTCTGTTCACCTAGTACTCCTACTTTTCTCTCCCTATTAATCTTGCCACAAAAGTTAGTTCTCTTTATTTTCTCAAAGTTCCAGTGAAAACCACATTCTGATAATAATGATAGCAAACACTTCAGGTTCTTACTATCTTAAGCATTATCCTGAGCACCTTAGGTGTATTGCCTCATACTACTCTCAGAACAACACTCTGAGCCATGAAACATTGTTCTTTGTTTTACACCTGAGGAAACAGACACAGAATTAAGTGGCTTTCCCAGTCACACAACAGGAACCTGAGTGTTTCCCCACCCTGTGAGCCATGATTACAGTCTCTGGCTCTTTGGGCTCCAACTATCTGCCCAGCTTCAATCCCTGCATGCTTCCTCTGATAACTTTCTTGTTCTGATTCTTGTCCTGCCAGTCCCCTCTTGCTTTCAACTTGGTAGAAGGGGAAAACCCTAAACTGAGATGACAGATTTACATTGGCTTATCTAGAATGCATACTCCACGTGCAGGGTGCAGGTCGGCGAGCTGACTGTCCACCTGGAGACCTCCCTTCCCTTGCTCTTCCTCACCCTCCCAACCCCAGTCACAATGAGAGACACACCTTTCCTGCCCTCCCTCCTTGCTTCCTCTGCAGCCAGAAACTCCCATCATTCCAGCTGCCCCAGAGCCGGCTCTGCTTCAGGAAGTGGTGCAGGGTGCCAGCTTGCAGAACGAGGCTGAGCTGGGGACCCAGTGGGTCATCTCAGTGGGTTTGTGGTCTACACAAGAGTCTGCTGCTCTCAGCCTCCCCTCACTCAACCCACATCAAGCAGCTGGGCAATAAAGGGGAACTTGCTTTTTAGAAGGGAATCAGAGAGAGCTGTCAGCAGGTCATAAATATTCATAAAGGGAGGTTAGAACTTGAGTCCCTAAAACCTTGATTTGTGTTCTCCCGTTTAAGCCTCATTAAAAAGTTGTGACTGAAAGTGGGGATAGTCAGTGGAACTGAGGATAAATTGAGCTTGTTCAGATAAAGGCCTCTGGCTGCCGCTCAGCAGCATGCTAGCCGACTGGCTCAGCCACTTGTGGTTTGCCAAGCTCAGGTTTAAGATTTTGGGCACTTGATGGCAGTGCCCAAACAAAGGTATGTAGATATGAAAATCCTCCACCTGTTGCCATTATAGAATGACATGCACAAAAGACTGGCTTATGTGATGTCAAGAAGAAATCTAATTTAGAACTAAGATATCCACAAACTGCCTATCTATAGACATGTATAGTTGCTCCTTCTAGCTTCTGTGGGTATAAGGAAAAGAATTTCAGATTCCAGCTGCTAGGTGAGGCCTGACAGTGTGTCCCTAGTTTTGAATCTGTGTGATCCAATTAACCCTCTGCTGAAAATTTGTCGTCTTCTTATTGTTATGGACCATCGAGCCAGCTCCTGCTCATAGCGACCCCAAGCACAACAGCTCTGAACCCTGCTCGATCCTGAGTCAATCTCACTGTCTCTGACACATATACCCTCATTATCCCATTTATTCTGTCAGTCCATCTCATCCAGGGTCTTCCTCTCCTGCGCTGTCCCTCAACCCTTCCAAGCATGATATCCTTCTCCAAAGACTGGACCCACCTGGCAGCATGCCTGGACTATATGAGATAGACTTTTAAATTTCTTGCCTTCAAGAGCAGCCTAGCTCACCCTCTCCTAGACAGACCTTTTCTTTCTCTTGGCAGCCCATGGGATGTTCAGTACTCTTCTCCAGCACCACAACTCAAAGGCATTCAATTCTTCTGTCATCCTTGGTCATTGTCCAGCTTTCTGATGCAGAGAAAGTAACTATGAAGACCGTGGCCTGGATCAGGTGCACCTTGGCCTCTTAGGTTGACATCCTTGTCCTTGTTCTTCAGTACTTTGGAGAGGTCCCTGACAGCAGATCTTCCTAATGCAGTTTTTGTCTTTTGATTTCCTGACTGCTGGTGCCAAGAGTGTTGATTGTGGAACCACACAAGCTGAAATTGTTAACAATCTTAATCTCTTCTCCATCTCTCATGATGCTGCCAGCTTACCTCATTGTGAGAATCTTTATTTTCCTTTTTTAATATTTTTTCCTTTTTTTTTTTTAAAATTTTCACCCAAATTTTTTTTTTTTTTTTTTAATATTTTTTCCTTTATATTTTTTATTAATTTTAATAAGTTTACAGAGACTTTGGATTTCCATTCATTTATTGTTTGCACTTTTCTCCCTACCCACCCCTCCCCCCCAGTTCATTCTTTTCTTTGAAAAGTAAAAGAAATATTCTTTCATTGTTACACAAGTCCTCCCCTCAAGTCCACTCCACTATGCAACCTTCGTTCTGGACTCCTGTCATGACAATAATACCCAATCACATATCTCTTTTAAACAGTTCTCTCCCTTATCTGTTTCAATACAGTATACATTATTTATCCCCACTTTTTCAGCCTCCCCTCAACTCCGATGTCAGTCCATTTTACAACAGTGGCCCTAAGCAATATTTGTCCTTTTGTGACTGAGATATTTCGCTCAGCATAATGTCCTCCAAGGTCACCCATTTTGTGTAATATTTCATAAGTTCCTTGTTTTTCAGTGCAGCGTAGTATTCCATTGTGTGAATATATCACAGCTTTTCATCCATTCATTTGTTGATGGGCACTTAGATTGTTTCCAACTCTTTGCTATTGTGAACAAAGCTGTAATAAACATGGGTGTGCATATATCTGCTTGGGAGGCAGTTATGGTTTCTTTAGGGTATATACCCAGTAGTGGAATTGCTGGGTCAAATGGTATTTCTATTTGCAACTTCATTTTCTTCATGTTGAGCCTTAATTCATATTGCAAACTACAGTCTTTGACCTTCAGTAGCAAATGGGACTGAAGAGCAGTACCCTTTCAGTTAAGAGCAATACCAAAGGCCTCGTGAAGGAGGCGGCACATCATGAATTAAGCTTTATTTCGACTCACAGTGCAGCTGGGGTCTGATTGCTGTTTCAACATCGTGGAAGTAGCTCGCACCAGATCCTAGAGCTCCAGTCACCATCATATCAGCCAGGTACAGAGAGGAGGAAGCTGTCCAGCCGGGTGCATTTCCCTGCAGTGCAGCTTCCAGGGAAGCTCTGCCCTCCCCAGACAGACCCATCTCCTGACTGGGGCTGTTTCTCAGTATGGCCCTCCCTTTGGTGCTCATTGGTGCTCATTAGCAGAAAAATTACACAATTAACCAGGCAGTTAACTCAAGGCTCTGTAGTTGCTCTCTCCCACAGGTTCCTGCTTGAGCTCCTGGCTTTGGCTGAGGGCTCGACTGCAAGGAAGGGGATGGATGGTGTGTCAACTGGACTGGGCCCAAGGAGAAGGGCCATAAGAAGGCCCCGAGTCTTAGCAGCTCTCTGAGGCCTGCACTGCTGAAGCCCAGGGCTCTGACTCCTCTCCCACCCTCCCTGGGTCCATGCAGGCATTGACTACCTTCTCTGCAGGGATCACTCCAGAAAATAAGATATGAGAGGGTGTTTCACGGACTCCTCCGAAAAGTCTTCCCATATTCCTCACTGCAAGTCCTATTTCTGTCCCTTCCAGGGATATGGTGAGTCTAAGTCAGAAAGGGGAAAACCGACATTACAGGGAGCCCAAGACATCATTAAGTCAACTCCCCAAATGAGTTAGACATGGGGCCCTCTGAACCTTCCCTCACCTCAAGGTTCTGCCAGCGGTGTAGAGGTGGACCAGGAGCAGGCCCAGGGAGGCGATTAGAGAGATGCCTGGAGACTGAGACAGACACACAGACATGGTTTCCGTAGGCAGCATTTTCTGAAATATTTCTCTGCTACTAAGATTATTTCCCAAGAACACATCTGAAGTTTTGTTAAAAAAACGAATGGGGGAAATATACCTCTGGCAACCAGTCTTTTATGAGTTTAGCTGTTTTGCCACAAGAGTTAAATCTGCCTCTGTGACGAGCAGTATTTTCACAAAAGACCAAAGAGAAGGAAATAAGAGTGTTTGCGAGCTGCATTTTCCTTTTTATTCACACGGTAATTTTTATTTATTCTCATGGGGAGAAAATATTAAGATGAGAAAAATACCTATGCTTTCTGGCTCCTAAATTTCTAATCCTCTGTGTGTGAGAGAGAATGTGTGTCCAGATTTACCCTAGAGGCCTGTGGAGCAGGTGTGTACTGCACTCAGCTCGGGCTGCCTCTGCTGAGGGCCCACTGGGGCATGGTACTAAGGCATCAGAGCTGACGGAGGGGCTGGCCCCAGTCTCCGTCATCTACATGGGAGTCAGGGTACCTGTGAGCCCCCGAGCAGCACCCCAGCTCTGGCTTAGAAAGAACTCAGGCTGCTTCCTGTGAAGCTGAATCATTGAGGGGGAGAGGGAGTGAGAAGCTCGGAAGATAGCAAAACGGATGCTGTAGAAAAGATACTGGGCCTGAAGAAGCAGCCAAGGGGCTCCCTCCTCAAACCCAGGGTTTTAGAAGCAACGGCTACCAACTTGCCTTGTCCTGGGCTGTTTCAGATCGATGGGCTGGAAGAGAAGCTGTCCCAGTGTCGAAGGGACTTGGAGGCCGTCAACGATAAGCTTGACCGGGAAGAGCTGAGCCCAGAGGCCAGGTATTGCCCCTGCTGGACTACCCTGTATTCCTCTATCTTGCCTCCCATGTCTGTCCTGGGGCCTCAAGTGAGCTTCTAGGCGTGAGTGTCTTGGCCCCTGAGCCTTCATCCCAGAAGTACCTCTCCCACCCTGCCCCAGACATTATGCCTCACAACAAAGTATTTCCCCCTACCTGTTGTCATATTGGAACCCTGAGTTGTTCACTGACTTGAGCCTCACAGTTCACTTGCCTCCCAATTCTGGGGCATCCACTTATGAATGTACTTTATCATCTATAAGGCAAGTCTCCACCTGCCCACTTTCCCACCTGCTGCTGGACAACTGAGCCCTGTCCAGCCAGACCATAATAATGCTGTCTTGGTGTTTTGGCTGCCTCTCAGGTGGGAAGACGGAAAAAAAGTTTGAGCCATAAACTTTCTACCCTCACAGGCGGTGTCTGGAAAAGGAGCAGAACAGCTTGATGAGCAAAGTCTCCAACTATGGTAAGAACTCTCCTTTAGTTACCAGCCCCAACCCTGGTCCCAGTGCTGGGAGGGTCGGCCCAGAAAGCCTGAGAGGTTCCCAATCAGGGACAGCTGGGGAGGTATCCCCTAGCATGGGAGGACAGCTGTCTTGTCTTTTGTTCAAGGAAAGAGAAGCGAGAGCCTGTGCCTGGGGCCCTCTTCTGTTAGGCAGCCAGGTCGAGAAGTTTACATCTGCTGCGTCCTACTGAAAACCCTGCAGAGGCAGTGGGGCCAGTGAAGAAAGACTTGTCACCAGCTGGGATATAGGAAGGGCTCCTGTGGATGGAGCAATGCTGCCACCTTCTGGGCACTGGGGGCAGAATCATGCCCTGGCAATGCATGGAGAGGGTAGGGTGTGGGCACTGTTGAGCACCGGCTGCCCTAAGCCTGCCTGGCTGGTTTGGCCCCAAGAGGCCAGAGAGAAAATAATGTGCACAAAGCTACTGACTGGTCCAGGCAGCAGCCCCAGACTAGCCCAGCTGGCAGGAACTCCCAGAGGGGGCCATTTGAAACACTGTGAACACAGCAGAGTCACGTAGGCATGGACCCCTGTAATTAAAGCATGACTGGACCCGGGCACTCAAGCTCACCACACACTGATTTCTCCCTCAAGCCTAAACAATTTTCATGCAACATTGCAGCACTGCCACTCAGTTTAGCCTCATAAATGATCAGCCACGTGCATGTCACACGGAAGGGACAATTAGAAGCCTGGCTGCAGACAGCACACAACCCCCCTGGGTCAGCTACCCTACTTCCAGCCCCGCCCTGCCCCTGGTCATACAGCAGAGCAACAGGAGCTCAGGATCCTCCAGCACAGAAGCACCGATGGGATGGCCCCACACCGCACCTGCCCCTTGTCACACCCAAGGAGGCCCTAATCTCAGTTCCAGTGGGCAGGTGGGATCCCACACAGGGGATACAGTGAAGAGGCACGAGGATCAGCTCTCGATCCCATGCCTTTACCTAGCATGGATTTCAGGTGCAGCCTTTTTGGTGACATCTCACTCATCCCTCCTCAATCTAAAGAGGATTTGCAGAGATGGTTGGGACTTCAATAGGTTGGGATCTGTAACCAAAGATGTTCTACAAGGACAGGCTGCTTTTATGGATGATAAGGTGGCTGGGAGGGAATGTGTCTCCCCTGAGCATTATTCACACATATTTGCTGACCAGCAAAGAGGAGGCAGAGGTGATGAAAACAACAGGAGTCCAAACTCTTGCACCCCACCACCCTTGTTCTTCCCAGAGAAGGAGCTCAAGTTGCTTCGGCAAGAGAACCAGAAAAACATGCTGCTGTCCATGGCCATCTTCATCCTCCTGAGCCTGGTCTATATCTGCTGGACCTCGTGAGCCTAGGACTGCCCACAGCCAGTGCTGATACAGCTGCTCTTGGCCCTGGCTCCGTCAGGACCGATGAAGCCCTTAAGCCTCAAAGGGATCAAGGTGCAGGGAGCACTTCCCCACCCAGAGGCTCGCATGGCCTCCTGGCTGCCCAGCCCCTTCCTCCCAGGGCCTGCCATGGGGCCTGCTTCTCCAGGAGGACACTGTGTGCTGGCTTCTCCCTGAGCCCACGGGAGAGGCAATAAAGAGGCCGGACTCTCCTGTCTGCTGAGTAAATGTCATGGTCTGACTGTAGCTAGGGATGGTGGGGGCGGCATTTAGGAGTCAAGGAAGAAAAGATGTTTGAAGGAACGCTCCAGGCTTAGTGGCTTAGAATTCAGAAGGAAGGGAAAAGTGGGAGCTGCAAAGGTGAGCCCCCACTTAAATGGCATATACAATGGGAATTTTCCAAGCCATGCTACAGCAGGGGCTCCTGACAGGGCCCAGGTGTTGCAGGAGCCACGAGGAGACACTGCACGCTCTCCATCCCCCTCCCCACACTCTACCTTGTCCTCTAGCCAGTGCCACTGCCTGTAATTATGGCAGGAAAAAAAGTGCAGACTGTGCATGAAGGGCGACTTGGGGACTTGAAGTGGTCATGAGGAGGTCTCAGGGGAGCACGGAGTTAATCTGTCTTCAAGAGGCAGGCAGGGCCGCTGAGGTCTTGCAGAGCGAGTGGGCAGCAAGAGCCATGGTAATGACCAGACAGACTGATGGTGACAGTGGCCAGTAAATCAGGCGGGTTTGCAGTGACAAGTGGTGGGGGCGGGGCAGGGTGTGAGTGGAGAATGAAGAGGCCAGAGCCACAAACACAGACGTCACCACTGCCCAGCTCATCTCCCAACTCCACTTGGGTCCTGGTCCAGGAGTGGGGGCACATGAGGCTTCTTAGTAGGCAGGGCAAGGCCACCAAAATGAGGGGCTCTGCCTTCTGAGACAAAACCAATTGAGTAAAAACAACGGGGACAAAGTAGCTTGGGAGGAAACATCAAGTAGGGACCCTGAAGAGTTGCACCAGTAGCAAGGCTCAGGAGTGAGGGACAGCACCACAGGGTCAGCAAACTGTCCCTCCGGCCCCACCTTCCCCTGGTCTAGTGACACTAATTGGTCTGACGCCTCTTATTTTAGTCACACAGGCTGATCTGGCCTGTCACATTGTCACCATAGAGTGAGCTATGTGATTCACAGAAGGGGAAGAAGAGTCTCTTGCCTTGCTGGGGTGAGAGACCTTCACCCTCTTTTCCCAGTGCCCCAGTGTCTGCCCTCTGTAGCAGTGGGCAGCAGCCTGGTCCCAAGCCCCAGCAGCTCTGACTAAACCAGCTCTCTGCTCCCTCTTCTCAAGTGGCGTTCCCTCCCCTTCACCCCCAGCCCAGCCTGTTTCATCCAAGCCAGTCAGTCCCAGACCACAAAGCACAGAGCCACACAGGCATTAAAAATATGTTTATCTTTAATGATCCAAGATTTTGCAAGACACACTGATATACCCAGAATTGGGTAGAAATACATCTCAGCAGTGCTGCTGCCAGCTTGGGGTGGGGTTGGGGGATGGAGATGGTGCTGGATGGATGACCCCCCACGGTGGAGTCGATTCCAACCTCAGGGGAGACTCAGTGCCTTATCTCCATGGAAACCAGTCTAGCATTGGGATGGGGCCCTAGGGAGGCTGATAGAAGCATCTCTGAGAGGTATTTCCCATTGAAAACAACCACAGATGCCCTCCCCCACCCCTAAAGCTACTGGCCGGCTTCCCTTCTTCCCTCCACCTCCACTGAGATAGAAGAAATGGAGTGACCACATGAGGACAAAGGAAAGCAGACTGTATCTCCTACTGGGGAAGAAAAAGGAAGGGAAAGGGTAGTGAGGCACTGCCTCCAGCTGTCAGAAATCCACGACGGCCCTGGGCTGGCTATGGCCAGTGGTGGCACCATGATTGCCAGAGGGCTGGTGTCCTGTCCTCTTACTGGTGGGGCCGCTGTTGCTGAGGGAGAGAAGACGACAGGTCTTCAAGCTGCTTGCTCCCATTCTAGAGCTGTCCAAGGGCTGGAAATGAGTTAGGAAGGCTCGCCAGCCTCAGAAGGCTGTTATGTCCAGTACCAGAGAAGATGCGCCCTGGATCCAGATGTGAGGTCAGGGAGGTAATGTCCACACGCTGCCCTTCCCGGCCTGCCAGGACTGTCACAAGTCCAGGCAGGGAGGAACTCCAGGGAAGGCAAGGGCAGGTTATGTGGTAAGGAGACAAGAAATCTCCAGCTTGGCCTCGAAATGGAGGAAGTCCAAAGAAACAAACCTTAATTTACACTGCAGTTTCTCCTGACTAGTTCACAACAGACGGCTTCCCCCAACTCCAAAGTCTGCCCAATAAAAGGTGTGACACAGAAGAGGCGTGAATGCCCTCAGGACAGTGCATCAGACTCAGAAAAGCGAGTCTACAGGGTTCAGGAGAGAACAGCCAAGTGTGAGCCCTGCCACTCCAGCATGGCCTCCAGCAGCCTCACGTGCCCAGGACACTGACTTTGAGCCTGCTGCAAGGTCCCGTCCTTCAGGCTAAGCCCTGGTGGAAAAACTTCCTAGGCTTGTCCCTGGGACGAGAAGCCTAAAGGTGAACCAGAATGATTGTCCTCTGGAGGGCCTTGAGACCACCCCCCATTGCCAGGCTCCCGTCCAGGGGAAGAAGGTCACCACTGGGGACCGAAGCACAGAGGACTGCCGAGGAAGTGGCAGGTGGGCCCGCAGCCCTCAGGCACTGTGCGTCTGGATGAAGGAAAGGACATCCTCCTTGGACAGCTTGTGTGGATCCTGCGGCTTCTGGGAGTCATGCACTCGGATGCCATCTCCCCATTCCCAGAAGAGCCGGCTATAGTAGCAGATGCTGGAAAGGAGGGAGGGGTAAATGGCTACACCAGGTAAAGCAGACCAATAAATGTCCACTGCGATCCTGGCAGCAGTGACTGAGACCCTCACGGTGCCAGTGCCAGTGACTCCACTTGGGAGTCTTCCCTCTGGCAGGAGAAAGACCCTCCTTCCTGCCTTGCAGAACCAGTTTTTCCCAACCAAGAGCTGCAACAGCTAATTGCATCCAGCAAATTCCTACAACTACTGATATTCCTGGTCTCTGCCGCTCTAATAGACAGTATCATTGTGATGTCAGAAACAAGTGTTGATGGCTAGTTAAAGGTACATTAGGGCTGTAAGCTGCTATCAAAACCTATGACAGCAATCTGGTAAACGGGCACTGGCTCCTGAAAAGGGAGTGTGGTGCCGAGTCTAAGGGATGACACTGTGGGCTCCCAGCATGTTCCCAGCTCTGGGTCAGGGGCTCAGGGTAAGAATGGCAATTCAAGCAGGAGCTACTGTCTGGGCAGATGTGCTTGGCATCTAGTACCCTCAGCCATCATGGCAGGTCCTGGCATCACAGCTCCTCTCATTCAGTTTACCACTCGAGCCTGGCCTCACCCTTGTGAGAACAGAACCTGTCCACTCAGGAGAGTCTCTTTGAGGATAGTCATCAGTCAGAACACGACGTGTGTCTTAGAAATAATAGCTGGGGTTACAAAGGGGGATACTTACTGAAATGGGGCAATGGAGTCTGCAGGCAATTCATATGTAGAGATCCTGGTTTTCTTATTGTAGAAGAACTTTCTCTTAAAGTTTTTGCTGAATGCCATAGTCCATGGCTCTGACAGAAGGAAAGGACACAGAACATCATGGGTGACAGCTCAGCCACTGCTGTGTGTCCCTCCCCTCCTCACTGTTATAGCCTTCAACCCCCATCCGGGGGGCTCTGGGAGGACGGCTCCTTCAACAGCCCAGGCCCGCCGCCCTGCCATCTAGCTACATCCCCGGGCCCTGGCAGAGGGATTGGGACTGTTTGCTGAGGTCACTGAAGAAAGTGACTCTACTGGCGATGCAAGAGAGCAAGCTGGAGATTTTCTTGATCTGCTGCTGACCACTGAGAAGACCCTTCCCACAGCCCCATATGCATATATAAATCAGGCTCCCTGGGCCCACCAAAGAACAGAAGAGGCTCAGGAACATGGCCACCCCAATACACTGCTCAGCAAACTGTCAGCCTGGCTACTTCCCACCTCAGTGGGAGCCTCAGGCAGGGGGGGG